ATGAAACTGGACAACAAATATCACTGAAAAATTTAAAACACTTTCCCCAGTAATTGGCTGCTAAAGAAGATACAAAGATCTGCAATGGAGTGGCTGCAATCTGAATCGCAACATCAGTGTATAGTGTAATGCTTCCTCAAACAGAGCCCTACACTCACTCTATGCAAAACTGGGAGTGTGCGCAGTGCTCTTGAAATTGAGAGGAATGTAGATTACATTTTGATTTTAAACTCAGGAAATCTATAGTCTTCATAAACTATATCTATTTATAAAGTCAAAGAAGCACTTCACCAACATACTAAACCCATTCTCATTTCTTCTTGGGCCTTTGTCCGTATTACTTCTTTCATGAACATTCTTTCCAATCCTTTCTCTTCCTCCTTGGTAATTCCTAAACTATCCTTTGAGTCTCAGCCTATTCATACTTCCAGGTCCTACTCCTTCCTCTCTCTCTGCCAGACCACTGCTGTTTATTTATTTATTTTAATTTAAAGACGGAAAAAGAAAACCAAAAACATATCAAGAACAAAGGTAGAAACACAGCGACATACAACCATACAAATGCTACAAAATCTCAAAACGAAAATAGAAAGGTAACAGTGGTTGCTGTACTACGTATTGTCATCATCAAATTTGTTGCTCAGATTACCAGATATTCAGCCAGCCTTCAGAGGCCCAAGCATTCTCACCTCTCTCTGGCCCACCCCACCCAAGAAGTGAGAGACACAAATTCTGTGTGTTGGCTGCACCCTCCACTGATAGTGCTACAGCACTGTCGGAAGAACACAGAGCTTCGTAATTGTCTGAGTGCCCCCGTAGGCTGCAGGTTCTAAACAGGCAGAACTGACTTAAGACCTCAGACAGTGCTCCACAGCAGCAGGTGATTAAAAGCATTTTCTGAAGTGCTCTGTTGCTGTCTTTTTGAGCATCGTGGCTAACCCCGGAAGATTTGGAACAAGCAAGTAGTTAAATTCAGTGCTTAATTTTCTGCAGTGGTGACAGATGGGCGATAAGCCTTGTTTGAGAAGATAATTTAAAGTATTCCCCAGGACAGTTCTAATGAAAAATGAGCCTGCTGTTATTGTCACTAACATGTCAAGTAAACACAGTGTAAAGTTAAACAATTTTAATGAACTATAAAAGATAAGATTTGATCTTATCGTCTCACCACTTAAAGGATATTTTTCGGTAAAATATAGTAATTATCATTTCTTTGATTCCCTCAGTCCTATCAAGGATCTCTACTCTTGAGCTTACACTAAATCCTTTCATCTTAATACTGGAAAAAAAAATTCTCA